TCTGACGCCATGACTGCATTGACCCACTATGAATGGGTCAATTTGCGGAGATGGCGTCAATTTTCAATGAATGTCAATTGTGAGAATTGACATTCCCACTCATGCGATGATTGCGGACAGGTTGGCATTCATTACTGTGATAGGAGAGAAGTAAAACCGACCAGAAACTCTACGACTTTTTGGATAGCCATTACTACCGGTCAGAGACTTTCTTCAGCCCCTTTTCACTATTACAGTTGTCACTGCTAATCAAAGCGGCTTGACGTATAGGAGGAAAGACGCTAGAAGGAAATGTTGTGATTCAGCAATTTCAAAACTTGTGTGGGTAGAGTTTTTTATTCAATTAATCCATCCATCCGACACACTTTTTCCACTCACATATCCCGTTCCCATTCACCTACTCCTTATACATGCTTGTGACTTACTCTTCCATATTCACCTTCTCATCTCCCCATCCCATATCCACCCACCTATTCCGTATCTACCCATCCATTCCATTTCCTCCATCCTTCCCCATCCAGGGACCCATTCAATCATTCTTGCCGTATTCAACATTCCTCCATCCACCCACCCGTCTATTCATCCTATGTCATTCCATCCATCCCGTGTCGACACATCTATCCCACTTCTGCCCACCCACACACTCATCCACACATTCCGAATCTATCAACCTCTCCCATTTCCATCGATTCATCGTTTCATTCATTTAGCTACCCACTCATCTCTTTCACTCCTAGTCATAACTTCTCTGCACCTCAAGGTCCCTTCAATCTGATTGGTTGGTGTGAGTTGTAGCACATCATGTTTTAAATTTGAACTGCTCTGTGCCTGTTGGCTTGCTACGAGGATGTGTCATTGAGCCTGTATAACCTTTAGGATGTCTTGCATGACCCACTGAGTTGTGTGTGATTGTGTGTACTTGTATGTACGCGGGTCCATGTGTGAACATGTGCTCCACCCTGATGGTGCACGTAAATTCGGGACCTGATAGCGATGAATCGCTCTCTTTATTAATTACGACTTCCAGGATAGATAAAATGACAAAACGCAGCATGTGTAGAAATTCAAAAGATATTTTCAGCTATATATACTCGAAAGAGGTGTCAAAAATTGAATGCGAAACAAATTACACTACTTCCGTTGGGTGGGAAAAAACTCATGAATTAAATGACGAAAGACTTTTTCCCTATTCATAGTATCTTTTTACCAGAAAACAAAAAAGACTTGCAAATCCAGAGTGAGGTGGCATTTAACTGCAGCCGGTAATTGTGCAAACAGAATCGCGGGTATTCTCCACCGCGTTTCAAATCACCCGGTGATTGATTCATGCACCACTTGGCAGATGATTGACGAGCTGCGATTGTCAGTGACTTCGTAATGGCGCCTTTAAAAAATTTCCACTTATATTTCTTTCTTTGTGTCTCTTTTAACTTTCACTTATCACCCTTCCTTCAATTTCGTGTATTTCATTTATCCAGCCTTCCCTTGAGCACCGCTGTACTATGCCAGACGGAACTGCCACACACACACGCCTAGACAATCGTCTCAATTTACCGACTGTCAGATGGTTTATAGCAAATGTCTGCACCGATACAATGGGATGAAGCTGTGACTAACGCCTCCTTCAAACATGCTCATTTTAATTTTCTTCTTCGTCCACGTCTTACTCTTCCGTATGATTGGCACACATGAGAGTGTTCCTCAAATGTCACCTCACATCGTGGAAAACACGACCTCTACTTCAGTCACTCAAGTAACGTTATTTTGGCATTATTTGCCTTGAAGAGTTGAGGCACTTCAGATGAGTTTCTCTCTATTTGGCGTACGCAAAATTTGGGCGGAATTCCCCTGTCGGTAAATTAGTGAGAAGTGAAGGATCCCCCTGAATTTCATTCACGACGGAAGCATGTAAATTACAGATAAATAACGATAGTTATTAAAAGCAATAATGTAGGCTGCCTTTAACACTAGGCGATGGCAACTGTCAACACTAATTAATTTTCCTTTCACTACTGAATAATTAGTCAGTAGATGGGTCGAGGTACTAATTGGACACAATAAGGTGGGGAGAAATTACTTGCGTTCAATGGGTAAATTCGCAAACATGCCAAAATCTGCAATTGTACCTTCAGTTCAAAAGAAAGGAAATTTGTTCATTGGTATTGGTTTTGAATAAAGCATTGCTTAAGCTTTGGAGGCTTCTTCTCGGCCGCATAACAATCAACAAAAGGTGAATTAACCTTCGCAAATAAAAGAAAGTATTTTTGACAGTAAATGATAGTTGAAGGCAATAGAGGACACATATTGTGTACGGGCATGCTATCCTCTGTGTGAGTGTGTGCACATGCGTGCCTGTTTGTCGGTGAGCAAGGAATCGTGCAATGCGATCAACGGCCAAAGTTTGACCTCCGCATTCGTCTACATCCAAATGACCTGACAACAGTGATGTGGTAAAAGCCTACTGTTTCTACTTCCCTTATTTGTCAAAAGGGAGGAGTAAACACAGAACATAAAGCATATAATTACAATATAAGTATATTGTTAAAAAGAAGAGATAAAAGGCTGTTCCGCAATTCTCAAGGAGAAATCGAATGGTGACCTTCGGGCACGCTGTTGCTATCCAATCAGGCAAGGGAAGCTTAGATCCTCAAATTTACTTCATTTTAAAGCCATTTTAAACTATACTGGTTTGTGAATGTTTGGCATATTAGAGGGATTAAGCAAAATTTAAACGGAAAAATGCAGGGAATATTACAACTGATGCCAACTTTGGCAAATCAAGATGATCACAGTGGATTGGCCGCATTCTAAAATCGTGCATCCCGCCACCTTGCTCT